GAAGAGTAGCTTGTTGCAGAGGGGAGGAAGTTTCGGAAAAGCTGGTAGGGTGGAGAACCACAACTCCAAAGGAAGGACAGTGGAGTTGGAGCTTCTGCTTTGGGTATTGAAGTAATCACTACCGAACTCTCTTAAAGAAGGCACACGTGCGTTATTTTCCTTGTGAGGGGGGCTAGTTGGTGGGTTAATACTGCGTTACGTCAAAGACTGGATGAGTTCAGGTAGCCTTGGCTTACTGTGGTTGTATGGGTGCCGCTGTATTTACTTGGTTCTGCTCCTTAAGCAGCAGTGCAGTGGGTGGCCTCCTGGTTACCTTGATGCCCTCCTGTTCCATTTCAGTAGTTAATTACATTGTGATTTTTAGCTGTTTGTTTTATACGAAAGAGCCAATTTGTAACGTTTAAGCACCTTTTACCTCTCTTGTGAGGTAGTTAAGAAGATGGCCAACCCTAAGTTACTACTTCATAATAATGGGTTTATAAAACTTGTGTTTGTGATTTTATAGGCTTATTCTTTATATTTATTTCTGGTATAGAGGTGTCTGCAAATCAGCAGTTGATCAAGACCCATTCAGCCGTTTCTGTATTCTGCAATTATATGTTATATTGATAAACTGTGGTGGTTAAATGGTCTACAGATCTAAATTCACCTCGTGGATCACAGAAGATTTAAGAACCAGTTAAAGGAGAAAAAAAAAAAGAAAAGAGGGGAGGGGGAATTGTTTGGAGAGCGGGGGTAGAGCACAGAGTCGCTGTGTGATTTGCTGTTGTGCGCTTTAAAGTTTTATGGCCCATGTTGCATCCCTTGGGAGGATAAAGTGCAAGGAGCATGAAGAAACTCATAAAATTATGGAGGGTTTATGTGGTATAATTAATATGGAACTTTCCATGAACTTTATAATAGTTGTACTTTCTTAATTTTACACAAGTTCCTGGTTTGCTAATAAGTAATCTTGAAGATTGCTAATGGAACTTAAAGTTTGGATTTTCATACTGAATTATAACAAGATACATTGTAGGCTGCTATATTTTAGTATATAGCTTCCTTATTGTAGTTTTCAGAATTGGCAGTGCCTGCCTTGGGAAGCGTTTTTGAGCTGTGGCCAGCTTTGCACTAAAAAAAAAAAACCCCATGTCGATACAGCTTTACTGGCAAATCCTCCTTGTGCAAGTGGAGCTTTGCTTGCAAAAGCACTTTTTATTGACACCGGATGGGTTTGCAGATCACAATGTCATAAGTTGCACCCACAGCAAAAATAATACGAGGAGGAAAGTTCAAGTACAAATCTGGCCTGGATTTGCTCAGTAAAAATCAAATAAGCGTTGTGAAATTGCGGCTCCTTTTTTTAACTACAGAGGAAATTTTAGTTCTAAATAAATGTAACATATTCCCTCTGGAGCACGCTGGCCGCTCTGTAAGTTGGGCGTGGATGCTGAGCAATGTTGATTCTTATTCCTCTGGCTTTATCAGGAGGCTCTATGGTAGAGCAGTGGGTATGTCAGGTTGACTAGAAATGACAGATTTGATTCACATCGAAGGACAACAACTTGTTTTTTTCTCTCCACCTCCCTAAAGATTCACGTGTGTTAGTTGGAAGGATTGTGATATTGCTTGTGAGGAACATGAGTAACAAAGCGATAGTTCATTTGGAGGAATGTGAACTCTTGGTAGCCGGTCTGTAGGTGGGGATGACAGATCCTGCATGATGCTTGGGGGTCTGCTGATGTCAAAGGCTTGACGAAGAAAGCTGAATCATGGAGCAGAGGTCCAGGGGTGACTGAGGTCTGCCAGCACTACTAGTGCAGCCAGGAGAGCGATCCTCCTTTCCTGTGCCTGGCTTCCCCCTTTTATCTGCATAGACTTTCCTCTGTTTGGGAATAACGTCATGAATGATTCCAGCAGGCAGAGAAGCAAATTCTAAAGCAAGCTTGTGTTCATTGTTTGGGTTGAGGCGCTTTCTTGTTCTTAATCCTCATAGCTGGTTGGCCAACTTGGTCCTTTTCCAAGGTCAAACCCGGTTTAGAGGTCATTAAATTTAGGATTCACTTCTCATAACATGATTATTGTGTGCCATTGTGACCGTGCGGCTAGAGGATTCTTGAATGAAAAGCCTGTCAGATCGAGGCAGGTGGCAGTTGTCATTTTCTGTGTTGGGGATTTTTTGGAATGAAGAAATGTCATTGCTAAATGCAGAAAAGGGAAGCACACGTGAGATGTAGTCACCTTACAGGGTGATGAAAATGACCTTGTGTTGCTATAATAACACAAAGGTGTAAGATGCTAACAACAGGAGTTGGAAGGCTTAGAGTCAGCAAGTTCAGCTAACTTCTACCAAAACATTTTAAAGGGATCTATTATCCATAGGCACTTTTCTGGATTAATAATACTGATAATTGATGACAGTGGAAGAAAGTTAATAAAACGAGCTGAATAATTAGAGGTCTGCCAGCCCTGCAAAATAATGGAATGAACGATAGAGGACTTGACTGATACGGAGGTAAGGGAAAGTAATACAATTAATGTCAATTAAAATGTGCCCATGGAAAATAAGCTGATGAGATGTAACTGGGGATGTAGTTTGGCTGATAAAAGCAATAATGTGTGCTGTAAAATACTTTGCCGCCTTAATGAATTGAATGTAGTGCAATGCAATATTTTGAATGAGAAATGAAAACGGTATGAATTTAATGTAGGGAGTGTTAAGTAGGTACCAGCTAAATTGGGTGGCGGATCTGAAAATACAGGTGGGAATGGCTGGGGGCTGCTGTTGGCAGAGCCCTACCCAGCTCCATTCTTTGTCCCAAGCAAGTCGGGGTCTTTGTGGATAACCCCAAGTGTCACAACACACGTGTTTGTGAAGCTTTGAGCAGTCAGAGATGGTGGGAAATAACAAAGGTGACAGTCACACGTGCAGAATATTGACTGGGAAAAAGATGTGGCCAAAAAGCCTTGTAGAGCAGTGGTCTGAGATACTCAATGTCAAGCTAGAAATCCTGGAACGCTATACAAAAAAAAATAATGGAGAGAACCTTCTTCCTGTTCAGCAAGGATCAGTACTTCCCGACTGCTCGTTCGCCCAGGAAGAAGTAGAAAACCGGCAACCCTGTTGATTTAGTCTAACGCGGTCGTACAGTAAAGTTCCCAATAACTCAGCGAGCGCAAAGGACTCATAAATTATAGAGCAGCTCACGTTTATCATACACATCGCTGCTTATCTTGTAAACTCATCTGCTGTGCTTGCACGAGTAGTTGATTTAACAGCATGTATATTGTTGAACTTGACACATCCGAGAGTATAATCAAGCTTTAAAAATACTAGGGATGTCTAGCTGCCGGTTCGTGCTCTTCGCCTGCTTTCCAGAATGATTGCGGGATGGGTTCTCTCTGGTTTGCTGCAGGTCACGGGAAATTTCTGTATTGTACGTAATTGCAGAAGAGTTTTATCATGATGTTGGCATCTGTTTAATGACATAAAATGATTCGATGTGTAAAAGGAAAAAGTTAATATCCTTTTTCTGTACACTTCCAAATGGGAAAGGACTATAAATTAATTTTGTAGGGTAAAATGCCAGGGAATAAGTGTACTTTTCGTATACCCCTGCCCAGTATCTGTCACGCAGAGAGCGAGAATAGTGGAAGAAGGGAGAGATGGCGTATTTTAAAAGCACTGTTGTAACTCCTGTGCTGTAGCTGGGATGTCTTATCCTGCTGCTCCAGTTCCCTTGTCTGCAGGGACTGATTTGGTCTATAAACATGCACAGTTTGTGGATGCTCTGATTATTTAGGTGGTGTTAAAGGGGTGATAGAGACATAATCAAGTTAATGCTTCTGGGACCTGTGCGGGCTGTTGTTGGACTTCAGGGTTTTTTGGGTTGCTTTTTTGTTTTTTAAGGGGAATTGATGTGCCTTCTACATTTTTAGCAACAAAAAAGAATAATTTTTGTATTCTTCAGTATTTCTGCTTTTGAGACCCCTGGGTATGGTGTGGTAGGAGGATTTCCATCTCTCTGCCTCACTCTCATGTTGGACTACATTCACTTTCTGAGCTGTCCGTGTAAAGAAAGGTAACCTGTTTTTAATCAGGTACAGGACATTTTAGTTTTAAATGAACTAATAGACCTTGAGTTGCATTTCTGCTGCAGCTTGACAAAATTATGGCAGGTGCTGGGGCTCTGTGCTTATTTACTTGCAAATCCTGTCAAGTGTGAACTTCATTTACGACTTTCCTGGCAGGTCACACTGCTGTGGTCACAGCTTCTATAACGTTTCGTCGCTTTTGCTTGTAAAATTTGTCACTGAGGGAAATAATAAGCTCAAATAGGCACAGGTAAGCACACACACAGGCTCCTCGTGCACAAATCCATCAAAGGTCTTTTCAAACTTTGCAGCCACAAGGAATTAAACTGTATTTATATTTCTGAAATAAAGGTGCAATTTCAACAGAAAGCCGTATCCTTCTTTGCAGTGACAAATTGCCTGTTCTTTGACAAGCTAACTGGTGGGTTTCCAAGTCTTGTCGTAGCTGGGGTCTCTTAGTGGAAACTACCTGTTCTCCTGTGTATACATCATGTGTCTCCTCTTCTTTCTAGATGATCATGGGAACAGCAATGGCAGTCATGTAAAAATCTTTTTACCGAAGAAGCTGCTTGAATGTCTACCAAAATGTTCAAGTTTACCGAAAGAGAGGCACCGCTGGAACACTAATGAGGTAGTTAAATCTCTTATTTATTCTTAGATGTACCAGCTTACTTGATGCTTATGGATTATTTTTTGAGAGCATGCCATATAAGTTACAGAATATGAATTCCCTGGCTCTGGAACCTGTTATTTAAATAATAAAGTCCTATTACATGTTGAAAGTGAGCTTTAAACTAGACTCAAAGGCAAATGTGGAAACTGACTACTAGTATAGTAGTAGTCTGTTGCTCATGTGTGTGCATGTGGCTTGTCTCAGTGTCACATCTTCTCTCATCAACATATTTCAAAATTGTTTAAAATTAGATAGGTACCATGTTAAACAAAATACTACCTTACTATGTGTAAAGACTTCCAGACAAAAAACGGTGCATATTCCTTCCTGCCAAACAATGTCCTGAGAAATAACTGGTTTACTTCTGTCTGAGAAACCTTGTTGGGACACAGAGTTGGGTGTTTTATACTGGAATCCAGTTACTCTGAATGTGCTAGTTTGCATATCTCCTGTTAACGCGTCATGATTGGGTTCACTGAAATGAAGCAGAAGTATTTAAAATTTGAGTGTCTGGGACCAAGGTAAAGTAAAAGAATGATCCAAATAGGTCTACGATCCCTTGCCTTTATTCCTTCTGGGCAGCGAGGCTGGAAGTTACACGGCAATACTGACAGTATACTTTTAGTTTTTAGTAGCACTGTCTTACAGTACCTCTGCCATATTTGTGGGAATCATTTAATAATAGAAGCAATCAACTTTGAGAAATTACTGTAAAACTCCAGTTAGTATCTGCCTGTTTCAAGCAAAGTGTTCTTGTCCCTCTAATCAATCATTTGTAACATCTAAACAAGTTAGCAAAAACTCTACTCATGAGTTTAACGACTGCAAGTGGCAAGCTGAGCGCAGAATCAAATATGGATCAGCTCATGTGTGTATTTTTCAAAGTTGAAGTCCTTTACGGCCCTCTCTTCCTTTTGTCTGAAAGTTAAAGTCAAGTATTTATTTTTAACATACTAAGTACTGTGATAAAATTAATCGGGTCTTTTAGGGAGTTGCTGGTGTGGGCTTTTTTGTGTTGATGTTTTTGTCTTGGGTCATTTGAATTGAAATGTAAATTGTAGAAAATGCGGGTTGCGATTTATTCTGCGATAGCGTTTCAACTAATGAGAACGGGATGTGGAGTAATAGCAATTCCAGTGGATCTAAAAGGTGATCTTTTGACAAAGGCAGTTGAGAAAGCAAGCTGTCTGCACAGGTTTGTGGCAGAATGATGCTCCTTCTTATTGGAAACAGCTTGTTGGTTTTTTTAGTCACTTTTCTCTCGTGTTTCTGTTGTCCCTTGTGTATACATTTACACAGGCAGGCTTTCAGCTTTTCTTTTTGAACAATGTTTGATGTGTGTGTAGCCTCCCAGGTACAGAATGTGGCAAATGAAGTTAATCATATAGCTGAAAATCTTTATTACTCATAAGTATGATGCAAATGGGAAAACGTAGGTGCCTGCAAGGTGAATTAGGCTGGGAGAAAAATCTGGGAGCGTAACCTTTCTTCTGAAGGATGTGTCAGCATTCTGGAGAGGGGGAAAGCAAATGGTTTTGATGGTGCTTGCCAGCATATTGCTGGTGTAAGTTTGTCTCATACCTTAATTCTAGATGGATTGTTTGCTAATAACCACAAATCATCAGCTGGTGTGTTAAAAACCCCAAACCAACCCACTTCTGTCTTTTTGAATGTCGGGTTTGTCATACTCATTTGTATCTCTCTTTCCTCCAAAATCTGTCACTGTGGCTGCCACACAGTGGGAACAAGGAGCTGGTTCTGTACGTGGGTTATTACTGGTGCTGTCTCTGCCGGCGTACGTGGTGTGTCGGTTGCGGTTTCCCTATTGCATTATTTAAAAGGAAGAGCTTTTCTTGTGGCCAGAGATTTTTGGCCGAGTTAACTCAGAGCAAAAAAAAAAAAAAAAATAAAAGAAAAAGGCAGAATCTTGTGCTTAGATGAAGCCTTGGAAAATTTGTGTTAATTACGGGGGAGGGGGAAGCTTACAGATTTTATTTCCCTCCCCACCCCCAGCCTGGAAGTTTAATTCTGTTCAGTGTTATAAAACTTGAATTTTTCTTAGGATATAATTGAATAATGATGTTGGACTACAATTCAGTGTCATTCCTAAGGGAATATATTTTTTTTCATCTGAGTACGCAGGTGTTCTGTCTATGCTGGTGAAGACATGAGTTGTAAAATATAGAAGAAAAAGATATATTTTATACAGTGGTGCTTCCAGAATCTTTGTGTTAATTGCAAAATCACTGGCACTGCTTGCAAGGTGTGTCACCAGCAGGGAGCTTTACGAAAAGATAGAAAAGAAAGAAAACGCATAAAGTAACTTACAGCTCTGAGTATGTCTGTGACGTTGCTGTCCTCTCTCAAACTCATTTGTGTTCGGACAAACTCACGGATGTCCGGTCTTGCCACAGCCTTCTCCAGAGCGCAAGCGCCGTGGGAATTGGTGTGGGATGCATCCTGGGGGGCAGCCAGAGCCGGCCCTCCTCACCCACCTACGACCTGCCTACTTTCCAAAACCCTTAAGGATTGCTTTTTCTGCTCCTTTGTACAGGGATATTTCAAGGAAACTTAACCATGGCCCTTGTACGCATCTGCAAGTCCTTGAAATAAAGCGCAAACGTATTTTGAGCCGCGGGGGCTGGCCGGCAGCGTGAAGGGCACGCGTTGTGCGCTGGCGTGTAGGCTGGGGCTGCTGATGGTTCCCTTGGATCTGCAAATGAGACTCTGCTGCCGAGGCTGAACGCGGAGGTCAGGGAGCAGCTGCGGTTTGTTCTTTCCTCTACCAGGGCATCGCCATGGGAACGCCGCAAATAACTTTTTCTGAGTGCTTTCATCTGCAGATTGAGGATAATGGTCATATGTTGCTCTGGATTGGGTAATTGGGGTGGAGAAACAATATCCTTTGAGAGCTGAATAGCTTGTGGTTGACTTTACACTTAGTAAAATAATGCGATGAGCAGCAAGAGAAATGGCGCATTTCTGGTTAGGACATGTTATCGAGATGTTTGCTTTCCGTCACATTATGCAGTTTTAACTGAAATGTTTGATGGAAATATATTTCCATATCAAGATGTCATCTCATCTTAAATCAAGTTTATAGTGGTTTTATATTTCCTAGTGAAGGAACTATTCCTTCTAATTCAATTTTTTTTTTTAACCAGAGATACAAAATCATAAGTTTAGCCAAGCAATTTAATTACAGATTCACATTTTTTGAGATGCCTTTGAAAGTGTGTGTGTGCTTATTTCGCTTGCTCTGGGGGAGGATAGAAAGAGGATTTTCATGCGATTTCTCAGGTTAAGACAAATCAGTTAATTGCCAGAAAATTCTGCGACACTCTGTGCATATGAGGGAGTTCCTTGCTCTTGGGTTTTAGTTGTCATTCATTTTGAACCGTTTTAGTGTTTGTGTAACGCAGATCTGGTTTGGTTTTTGGTAAGCGGATGGAGCAAAGACTTCTCATAGTGTGGGTGCTGCTTGTAGCTTGTTTGCCGCGCTCACGGTGCACCCCGAGCCTGGATGTCGGGAGCACTGGGTCTGGAGTCCCTTCCACAGGGCGCAGGGCTGATGCTCCCAAAGCTCAGCCTTGCAGAGCTGGCGTCTGTGGGTCCCTCTGGGTGCTCAGCTGAGCTCCCTCCCCTCGCACCTCGGCCCCATAGCAAAGTTTGCTGGCTCATTAATCACTTTGGGCAACAAGAGACATTGTCCGTAGGAAATGCGTCCTGCTGCTTTTCTGTCTGGGGTCCAGGTTATTTGGGAACTGGGAGCTTCCCTGGCCGGTGGTGTGCTCTCAGCGGTACAGGTGGGTGCGGAGGCTCAGGGGTGTCGGAGTAACCTTGTCTCTACACGGCGCTTGCCAAAAGCGGGATTGCAGCTTTGAGCAGAGATGCCTTTCATTAACAGAGTTGGCAGCCGCAGTCATTAATCATCCTTGTAAACACTTAATGACACAGTACGAGAAAGAAGAAAAAGTTAAACGTCGGAAATGTAAAATGCTACCTAGGGCTTTTGTTTCTGACAGCATTCTGTATTTACCTTCTCTGTTGGGAGAAGCCTAGGATTTCCATGGTAGAAAAAATCAGTAGTGATTGCTTCATGTGTTTAGGCTGTTCTTAAGGGGCAAGGCAGAAATGCCCTGTTTTGCAGTGTGATATCTAGCATCAACTTTATACAAATTTCAGGCTTAGAGATTGCTTGGTAGTGTTAAAATTAAAAAACTCTGTATTTGAGCGTTATTTAGTGTAGGAAGAAGTTGTTTGACAGTGCTGCATTGGGGACCTTGAGTCGCGTGCTCACTGACATCTCTGATGTGGTTTGCATTTTTGCTCTGCTCGCACGACAGTGACGTTCTCCTCTTCCGCTGGACATGGAGTTATTTCCCATCTTTTCTCTAAAGCGTAGAGAAGATCTTGAAGGTTTGGAGAGTTGCCTGTGGGATGTAAGGGTCCCAGACTGATTTGGGAAGTAAGTCTCGAGCATTTGGGCAGACTATTAAGCTATGAAATGCTAGCGAGGAGTAGGTGAAAGCGATACGTTGTCTGCCACCTGCTACTCCAGTTCCTCTTCAGCCCTCCGGCAGACAAGTGTCAGGCAGCCAGATACTAGTGCGGCTCCTGTCATTACAAGTTTGTTCATCAAAGTACCACTCTGGGTAAAGACCAAGCAGTATGACATACTACTACTTTTTTTTTTCCTTTAAAAAAATGTTTTTAAGTGCCTTTTAGAATGAACTCTTATGTCTGAAAACGTAAAACAGCTATTTGTTTTAAGGCTGCCCTGGCCGGTGTGGTGTATTGTAACACGTCGCTACGTTACTGTACTGGTTCACACCTTATTTGCCAAAGTAGATTAATGTGGTATAAATTCATAGCGTTGAGCAAGCATATGGGATCGACTTTTGGCATCACCAGGGTCAGAGTGAGGAAGGAGTGTCTGTCCAGGTCACAGCATCCCCTCTGCGATACGCCATCAAGATGGCAAAACCCTCTGGAAAAGCAACAGCGCTTATTACAGTTTCGTGAGCACTGTAAAGTCATTCAGTGTATTTTGTTTAATGCTTTCCATTAAGCTCAAGTTAATTCAGACGTGTTTTGCTTAAGCGCAGTTTCCCGAGGCCAGAGGCTGGCCGTTGTCGTGAGAGCTCTGCAACTGTGGAGCACTTACAAGGCTGGAATGTCCTCGTGGTCTGCATTGTCTCTGTGATCTCTCAAGACCAACGAGGATATTTAATTTTGACTAATTGCCTGCTGCCCGTGTGATCACAGAGTATACACTATAACAGTGCTATTGGCAAATGCTATTATTAGAAGTTTTGTTGCTTTCTGTTCCACCTGATGATTCTCCGCTGGAGGAGTAGCAGGGAAGCGGTCACAGTCCGGCTTGTGCACGCTTCCTATGTAACATCTTCTGCCACCATCGGCCTGGCTCGTGGGGTTGCTCTTAGGTTTGTGATGAGTTGGGGGTGCTGAGTAAGGTTTACAAGTTAACGTAAGGCTTTGTTAATGAAAGGAATTGCCTAATTGAGGGCAAAATGTTGGCCAAGAACTGGAACAACCAGAGCATCCGTAAAATGAAGAATGCTGGTGTTAATTCACGTCCTTTGTTTCAGTGGTGGTGGTCTTCTGCTAGCTGTTGTAGCTGGGAAAGGCATGTCCTACCTGAATTTCTCACTAGCTAGTTGGATGCTTGCCCTACCAGCCCTTGGTACTGGGCTTTCCAACGTGTGTCCATCCTCTTGGCCAACGACAGAAATGTAAGAAAACGTGCTTTCTTTAAAAAAGAAGGAAAAAGCTCTGAAAGTAAAATCAAAAGGAAATAAAGTTTACACCCTGACTAGAGCAGAGTCAGGAGTAAACTATTTGTATACCTGACTGATGCTGTCTGGCACGTGTGGGCGGCTTTGCTCGCTGTGTGTGTGATTGTGATTTAAGGCTGATCAGTGAACGAGATGGAAATTTCGCTTTAACAGAGGCACTTCATTAGGGGTTTATTTTGTGAAATTAATGAAATTCTGTGCTTTGCTTAATGTAAAAAGCAGAAAATCTGCTCCTGGCTTTGCTTTTGCAGTTTCTCAGTCGTGTTTACATAATTAGTAAATGTTGTGAGCAGGCTTAGTGATTTAGCTGAATTGAAAGGTTACCGTTCCTGGCAGTTTTAAACAAAAGCAGTAATACCTGCTATGCTCTTCATGCTATAATAGAGAGAGATTCCTCCTCTTCCTCTTAATAAAATCTAATTTGTTTCCTTTTGGGAAGGAAAAAAAAAAAAGTTAATGTTAGGACCAATGTTGTAATTGTATAATGATAAATCTTTAAAAATGACAAATTTTGCAGTTCTGTGCAGTTAATGTGTCTGAGTCCTGGGACCAGATTGAATCCTGCAAAGATAGCGAACAGATGAAATGTGTTGCTTTGGGTAATGTACTGCCCTCCTAGTTTTTGTTTTTTGTTTTGTTTTTTTCCCAAGTGAATTCGATTGAATGAATTAAATTAACTTTTTTACACTTAATGATAACGAAAGAAAAAAATTACTTCATAATTAGTTTTAGCATATTATATGCAAAATGCAAAATGCTGATGGTGTTTAACTCACTGGCTTTTTGACATTAGGAACCTATCAAAATACTTCCGAATAGTTTTACAAATTTTGAAACTTTCTAGCAATTAGTTTGGAGCGGAATAGGTCCAGTTTGTGTTGAGCACTCTTCTGGCAGTGCCTCATATACAGGCTTCACAGTGAATGCCCTCCTACTCCTGTATGTAGCGATGCAGCTGCTTGTGTTTGTGGTGTTCGGGAAATGGATGTTACTGGTTTGTGTGCTGCACCCAGTGATGGAGAGGACGAGAACAGTTCTTGAGTATGAGGACAAAACCTCCCAGCAAACCAAGGAGGCTGTTTCAGACGGAAGGGATTTTCTGGGTTTGTTTTGTTTTTGCCATGTCAGGCACCTCCAGGTTCCTCTACTGGAAGTGTGTTGTGTAGACAACCGTAGTTTAGCAGCAACAAATCCATGTCCAGACATCTATTCTTCTCTGTAAGAGTGGGCTCCGAATCCTTTGTCTAGTGTATACTTAACACACACAAAAAAGGAAGTATCATAGATTGCTTTAGGAATGCAGGAGAATAAGGTGGAATGTTATTTCCTCCAGTTGATTAACCTGGTGTGCTTTTCCTAACCAGCATCAGCTGTTGGAGCTCATCCTTTTTAATGGTACATGGTTATGTATCAAAAGCAGATGTGGAATTGGGTGCAGGGGGAATAAAAAGCTGGAGTTACCAGTTATGTAAACCCTTCTTCAAATGCCAGAGAATTGGCAGAGTGCATTAATTTAATTATTACTTTGCCGTTTATCTACAGAACACCAACAGTAGTGGTAGGTACCGCTGCATCACGTATTTGAGTCTCTGGCTTGCCCAGCACTGAGTACAATACTCATTGGTGTATTATGCGAGTTGTACCTTTTACCGCATTTTACAAGGAAAACGTTACAACAAAGTCAATTTACAAAGTCAATTTAAGTGTGTCTCTGTCAAGGACTGGCATACATAAACACAAATGAATTGGTTCACTTGTCAAATGAATGGAAACTGAGGATATTGTATTTTGTAAATGATTGAAATCCTGTCGTCTTGGTCTCATGTTTGCTACTTCCAGGAGTGGCTGTTCCATTTTGAAGAGAAAAGTCAGGGGATTTAGATGAAAAAGAAAAATGAGATATGAAGGAAAAATTAGTGCCAATAAAAGCAAAGATTTTATGCAGGGGTAGTACTTAAGAGAAAAGACTGAAACCAATTTGTTTTCTGCAAAAGGAGGGATTTGGGGGGGACACAAAGTGTACCTGGGGGGGACAGTGGAAGAGAGGAGACATCTTTTGCAACAGGGGAGAAATTAAGAAAAGAAAAAAGTCTTTGTATTCCTTCCTTTGGAATTGGCATCTATCCCCAGTTGTTTACAAACGTGGCTGTGGGTTATAAAAACAGGAGCAGGGAGCTCTTCGCTGGCTGGTAACGGCCGAGTGGAGTTAGCAAAATGCCGGTGAGGTGTTGGGCTTTGCGGGTCTGCCCCACATTTAACTCCAGTCGGTTACCATCCTGTGGGTAAAATCTTGGAGTTTTGTCAAACTCATCTTTATGCCAACTTCGTATTACCTGAGAAGTCGGAAGGGAGCCTTAGGTTTGTGTTGGGGGATGCGACCCCCATGACACGGACCTGCACGGGGCTGTCCAGCCCATGGGGTGACCGTGTTTGCTTCTCCATCTCTCACCGTCGAGGAATTCCTGAGGTATGGGGTCTTCCTGATCAATTGATTCTGAACTTAATTAGCTGCTGGGTCACTGCAAATCTGTGTCTTTGTTATTGAATTATTTCTAAGTCGCTTGGTTTCCAAATCGCTTTCCTCCAAAATGAGGTTGTCTTACAAATCTGTAGTGTAAATCGTGATTAAAGGACCCAGCCTCGGCACACGGATGAAATAACAGCGGAAAAGCTGACTTTTTGGTTTGGTTCACAAAAATTAGAATTGATAAATATTGGCAATAATGGCGAGAACTTAGTTTTAACTCCCAACACGTAACAGTAACTTTCGCAGGAGAGTTTGTCAGACTGCTGCTGAGGAGCATATTAGAAATACAGACTTCCCTGCGTTCTCCAGTGGTTTCTTGACTGCGATACACCTGAAACGGGAGCGGTGCAGAAAGATGCAATGTGTCTTCTGGAAAAACATACAGGCAAATTAGATTGTTGCACTACACTTCGACTTTGAATATGATGATTTTTGTATCACTAGTGGCTGCTTTGCCTTACAGAGACACGGTTTTGTGGGATGGATTTGTTTCTTGGCTTCAAGCGTGAAGCCGTTTTGGTGCAGATGAGAGACTCCCAAAACTTAACGCCTTGCCAGGAAGGGGGGGAGCCGCTGAAATGAAAAGGGATGTAATGCCCTTGGTGATTGTCTTTCTCCTAAAGTTATCTGATGTAAATATTACGCTCTCTGCATAAATTTAGTATAGATAATTGGCTGCGTCTTGCTTGGAAATGGGTACCAAAGGTTTTTTTTTAATGGCTTCTCTGTAATTGAAATTCCAGGAGGAGAGGCCTTTGTCTTGGTAACCACATTTGAATTACTTTTTTTATCGTAGCATTAAACCAATACATTATGATGTTAGGAGTTCAGTGTGCGTGTGTGTCAATAATTACTATATTTCCACAGTTACGATGAATAAAGCAAACTCTTGAAAAAGAGCATGTAATACCCTGAAAGCAGATGATCTAGAAGCTGTATTGACAGCCATTTGTGTTCTTACCTAAACCGTAGCCTCCCTGACGAAGGTAACGTGTCAGTGCTGGGGCAGGACCGCAGGCTTTGTGCATCACAGCTCACGCGCTTGAGCCATGCTGGTTTTTATCCCGAGCTCTGAAAACACAGTTTGTACAATAAGAAACCGATGCACCCGTATGGAAATGGAAAGCCTTGTAGAAGCCGTTCTACAGGGAGGTTTAAAAAAATAAAAAATAAAAAAAAGAAGAAAATAAAAAGGTGCTAGAAGTAGGAGTCGAGCTCAGTAGCTGGGGTGGCCGTGGCCGCAGGAGGGTCTGCAGCAGCGGGCACCTCGGGCTTTGGCGTGCCGTGGGCTGTGTGTGAATTGCGAGAGCTTTGATGTGATTCCATGGAAGGTATTAGTTTTACTCACTGAAGCTCCTTTGTTTTGCAGAGATCTTGATGCAGACGCCCTTTTGGATTTCTTTTTAATAATGTGTGACCCTTCACCTTTGATCCCTTGACCTGCATTACTTTGGTAACCATTTCATTTTTTTAATTTCATTTCATTTTTAATTTTGGTGTGCAAGCTGTAACATTTCATCATTTTAAACTGTAGCGTTCTTTGACCTCCCCAAATGTCTTTTTTTTTTTTTCTGTGAAGATATGTAATGTTGGCTTTTCTTGAATAAAAACCATTTCAGTTGCTAAAAAAATAAAGCATGTAATTTTCATTGGGTTTTGCTTCTTTTAAGTTTAACTGTGTGTACTTTTCTTGTATAGTACATTACCTTTTGTTTTGACCTGTGTTCTCTCAGTACTTAATTTATTTTTATATTTCTGTACATCTTTTGTTTTAATTTGCATTTCTCTACAGTCCTTTTGGTCAGCAAAACACATGCTGGTGTGTCCCGTGTCCCCCACCCCGCCATCACATTTTGATAACTCAGAGTAATTATGGGAGCATTTCAGATACTCTGAATAAGAAATATTCTTTATTGTTAAAATTTTGTTCCCTGTCCTGAAGATAACTTTTCCTAACCATCAGCTTAAAACTGATAGCTATTTTAATAAAAGATTAGCCTTTAGACCAAAATGAAAATCTCAATTGCAACTCAATTTACATTTATTTTTACATTATCATTGAAGCCAAAAGGAAACTTATCAATGCTTTGAGATGTGCTTTAAGCACGGATGTGCTTAAAGAAGCAGCGTTGTGTGTACATGGGATAGTAAAGTCCCCAAAGTTTAGTAGCTGTTTCTTTCCATTTTTCTATTGAGAGGGTACAGGCATGTGAGACAGATGTTGGCCAGATTCTATTTTTATCTTGTAAATGATCGTATGAAATCTTCTGAGCACGACCCGCTGAAGTACAGATTATTTTTTAAGTGTCTCATTATTTTATTCTCTAACATTTAATGCTGAAGTTTTAATTGCACACAGATGAAGCTGCTAAATGAGCACCGAAATGGATTTAGGTCTTCTCTGAGTCTTGTTGATGCTTATAAAACTTTACATCGTTCTTTGGAACTACAGATTAAAATTGTGGTGAGCTTTTCGCATATAACAAGTCTGCTTCCCTAACCTCACCTGGCCACTGCCCGTGTCTGGCCTCTTTTGGAGGAGCCTGAAGCCCATCTGAAGACCCTCCTGCTGGTATTTTCCCAAGTGAAACAGAGGCTGCAGCCAGCTCCACTGTGGTGTTTGCCAGGAGTGCTGCTAACCCATGGGGCTGAGCCGGAGCTGCCTTATTTACCTGCCAGTCCTCCGCAAGGCTTGGTGGGTTGAGCCCCGGCAGGTTTTACCCCCTGGGCAGTGGGGATGCACCGTCATCACCAGAGTCTGTCTCAGGAAGCATCTTGTGTTTTTAATTGGCATCCGTGCTTGAGAAAATGGTATTTCCAGCCCTAATCTTTGTGCTTAAACAGCAAGATCTCTGGTTTTAAACTGTCCTTCATGGTGTTTGCAGAGCCACCTGTTAAAATAAGGTGACAGTCAAAAAGAGTATTCACAGAATTCTGCTCATCAGAATCTCCTACGTGTCGATGTACATGGTTAGGAGCCGAGGTGGACAATTGCAGCCTATGTCAGTGTTTGAAGCATTCAGGTGGTTTTTTTTCCTTTTCCCCTCCTGTTCCAAATTTTAGCTGTAGTAGTTTTTGTAGGCCTAGAGTCATCAGTTCTGGTATACAGGGCTGCTGTTCCTACATCGAGCATGTTTTGGATAGCTGGGATTTGGCTTTTACTCTGGTTTTAATGCTGCCTGTCAGCCTGAGAAGTATGATCCTCCAGAATCGTCTCAAGCTATTTCTTCAGTCTTCAGAACAGGGCTTTTCAAACTCAGTGGAAAAAAAATCTATTTTACCCAAGAAAACTCCTTGAAGACTATTTTTCTCCTCCTTGTAACACATATTTTATATCAGCAGCAGTTAGATGTGAATGCCTTGGCTTTCTAGGAAAGCAATTTTTAAAAAACCTTTATTTAGACATCTGGAAACCAAAGGGAATCTCCCTCCTCTGCACAGAGGGCTGGCTTTCAGCTGCCTCCTGGTAGAACAAATAGCAAGCTAAAAAAAAATAAAAATTGTCTGATGTTGGGAATTGGAGTCAATCTAAAAACACACGAGGTTAAAAGATGGCTAGAATTTCTTGTTTCAGGAGATATTTTGTCATGTCCACCCTGCCTTCTTTTCATAAGGTAAGCGCTTTTAGCGATGGTAATAGTTGGGTGTATCTCACAAGATGTTTGGGTCACACAGGATGGTGCATGCTATCTTTTTCATGATCTTTCCAAGTATTCTTTTAGATGCAGATGGTTATTCACAGAAAGCAGCGTAGTGAATGTGGATTATGCCTGTTCAGCTATTGCGTGGGCTTCCAGGATGCTAGAGCTGCTGAGGGAGGAGGAGGTAGAGCCCTTGGAAAGGGAGGATAGGAATTGTTCTCAGTTTCCTTTATAAACAACAGTAAATATTAGTACGACAAGCTGCTTCGTTAACACGGCAATGATGATATCATTTACCCGAGCTTAAAGTCTGTCTTTGGGTTTCTGCTGCAGTGTTACTGAATGACAGTAAATAATACCAGCAACAATTGTCCATTGGATGGCAAGAGATGACAAAACTTAATAAATTTTACTGAGCTTATTTTTTGCTGAACAGGAACTAAAATACATGTTTTCTTCAGACACTTAATCAAAGAACTAGACGAATTCTGCAAAGCGTTGGCAAAGCAAAACGTTTGTCTATTTAAATATTAAGAGAATACTCTATTGAGAGATTTGTTCCTGCTTATGAGGGTTTTGTTATTCAAAGACGGAATGTTGATAACATCCACTCCTGAAACAGGTCTTAATTTTGAAATTTATGCAATATCTTCTACTGCTGGGTGCTTTTATGTGCTAACCTTAACATAAGGCTAAGTGGCTGCAATGAAATACTTGGCACTAGATTTAGAACAGTGCATGTCTTGCTGTTCAGGTAATGCAGCTGGGGTTGGATTAACCTAATCTGCCTTATTCACCCTAGTAGACACACTGGTGTATCGATCATCTGCATGTGCTGTTCATTTAATAAAATATACATAGGCAACAGACAACTTGCTCACTTCAGTCTCAGCTACTCTGAAAAACAGATGTATCAGTCAACACAAGCAAACATTTGATTTTTTTCTATTAATAAAACTTATCCAAACATGCAGGATGAAAAAGCATAAAGGACAGATAATTTTTTTTTTGCCCTCAAAGTCTGTATCTGAGAAAACACAGATTTCTGTACAGAATCTGTCTGTACACAGTAAACGCATGGGCAGCTGTCCCCTACTAACGTCTGTTAGGGCTGGAGGCTTCTAGATGAGAATCCTGTTGCTCTCGTGCTTGGAGGGGAAGGGGAATTCTCACTTTTTGGAGGAAAGCCCGAGTGCTGCTCCAGCCTTGCGGGCAGTTGCACCCAGCTGTTGGAGCAGCGGCTGCGGGAGGACCGGTGCCCTGGCTGTTGGCTTCTTGCGGAGGTTCTCCTATGGGCTTGGAGGTGCATTTCCCAGACTTCCCACCCCGCTTGCTGCTCTGTGTATATATTGTTTTGCAAAGTCCTTAAATAATTGAATGACTACTATTGCTTTAGTCTTTAAATTCTCAAAATGCATTAAGGTCTTTGATTGCTGAAGGGGTAAGCCAGCACCGTTGGGCAGCCTTCCCTGACTCAGTCTTGTGCTTCTGCTTTTACTCTGCTTACAGAAATAGAACTCCCATAGCAATCGAAACCCTGCTTTTGGCTTTCTGTATGTGCTAGAGCTAGGGTCTTCTGTCTTTCCTTTGCTCTTAGCTGCAGACCTCGGGTGAGAAAATGTTCGGTGATAAAAATGTGTTTTTATTTCTCCTTTAGGTTTGACTTGTCTGCTTTTCAGCTCTTCTAGACATTGGAAATTCCGGTTTGTGTTTATTTTCTCTGGATTCCTTCCCACAAGACAGAAGTGAATTCAGCATGGATTACTGGGGAGAGCCTTGGCTGGGAATAAGGATAATTGCAGTCTCTGGCTGTGCCACAGACTTACTGATGATTTCTTTTAAGTTATTCACCTGTACTGTATCTGTTTCCTCAGCTGTAAAAGATGGGTAATTACCTCCATTGTAAAATGTTATGGGGTCTGCTGGTAATTATATAATGAAGTACTAATTACAGTGATTATTACTTGGACCTAGTCTAGATCTGGGTGATGTTCCTGTTGTGATGAACGTATGAAAGAGATACTACAACTTGCCTGTCTCCATTCTTTGCAAGGGACCTGGAAGGGGAAGGTGCAGCGGCACTCGAATGTAAATTCCTGATGAGATCCACTACTACTTTTTCACCCAAGTCAATCTATTAACTTCCCATCTTCCTTGGTTCTCAGGTGTTAGCAGGGTGGTAGGCTGATGAGAGGCTAAGAAATTAAATTAACTTCCCATCTTCCTTGGTTCTCAGGCGTTAGCAGGGTGGTAGGCTGATGAGGGGCTAAGAAATTACCAATTCAGTAGTTGGATCCATGTGTAATTTGATAACAAGGGTTTGTTTTGGCATTTGTTTTTCCTCTTGGAGATGCGTAGAAGAAAGCAAACTGAGAATGGGTGCTCTTTGAGATACTGATTGGGCTGGGGCCAACCTCGTGCTACCTTGTGGCCTCGGCTCCTTTGGAAGATCTGACCTTGATGCGAGCAAAGGTGTCCTTCCAGCTGTTGAGATTATTTCCCTCCTGTAAAAGACTACAGCTTGCAAGACTTTATTATCAAACATTTTATTTGCCTTTCTCTTCTCCATTTATTTAGGACACATATTCTTTGTAGCTGAGAATAGCTCTACTATCCACTAAGCAAGGCTGGGTAGTGAAGGAAGAATTGGTATTTTTTTTTTTTAAGGTAGAAATGGAGTGTTCTCATCTGGAAAATACTGCTGCTACTGCTTGGATGATGCTGTAGTATCTGATGGTAGTAATAATGAGTAATGTCTTACATCTGTTAATGATGAGAGGCTCCTACCCAATGCCAGCCTTCCCTGGACACATGCTTTGTAGCATAGTAACAGCAAAAAAATCATGGCCTTGGTTTATCTTGGTACAGTTCCTGCCTGCTCTGTTCTGCCACCTCTGCTCGCTCTGCCTTGCTGGGTTCTGGATGGATTTCAGCCCTCACCTTCACATGCCCGTTTGCCATCAACCTCAGCCTTTACGCTGGAAGAGCAGGC